AAGCGTAGCAATGCATTGCTCCATACAGCAGTCTAAAAACAAATCTGAAATTTTATATTATTCAAAATTAGGATTTTTACTGAAGCAACGTGTAGACATTTTCCCCTATTTCCTTTTATAATTTCTTTCAACTCTAATCAGTAGGGAAGGAGAGAGAGAGAGATAGAGAGAGAGAGAGAGAGAGAGAGAGAGAGAGAGAGAGAGAGAGAGAGAGAGAGAGAGAGAGAGAGAGAGAGGGAGAGAGAGAGAGAGAATAAAAAAAATATAGAAAAAAAAACATTAGGAGAGAAAAATAATAAAAGAGAAAAGAAAAAAAAAAAAAGAGAGCAAACTAGGATCAAAGGAATAGAAATTTGTAAGAATTAATCCTCTTTAAAGTATGACAAATGTGGATTCATCATTATCTATGCTAAAGTTTCTTGTGATGTTATTTATCCCTTCTATATTCTAATGTTCTCTTGTATGTTTATTTTCATGTTGGATAATTAGGGCTATCTTATCATATGTTAAGTTTTGATAAATAGGACATAATTTATTTTTAGAACAAATAGGAAGAACTATACTATATACATACCATCAAAATTATTTATATCTATAAATCAATGCATTTGAATATGCTACAACAACTAAGAATATGTGTAGGATGGTTATTGTGTTTTGTAAAGTGATTATGTTGCTATTTAGAAAACGGTTGTGGATATTATAAATATGTTCTTTTTTAAAAATTAAATTATTATCTTCTTAAAACTAATACATATTAGCAATTTATATTATAAAAAGAAACTTCTCATGACATAACTTTCTAAAAAGCTGTGAAAATGTAGAAGAAAATAATAGTCAAATAGAACTGTATTTAGGGTTTAGAACAAAAATATTGTAAAAAACTTATCTCAAACTGATCCTAAATCATTGACAAAATATTGATAGCAAAAGTATATTTTTTTTTTATTTTAATTATGCTGCATTTTATTATACTTATGTTGAATTTTAATGAATAAAAATAAAAGAATATTAACTTTTAAATAATCAAAATTTAAATGATTTATATAAAATTATCCCAAAGAAGTAATGAGAAGTCTTCAAATTTAAAAATATTTATTTATTTATTTCATGATTAAAAATATTTTTCTTCAACAACTGGCATTTATGCAATAATAATATGAATAGAAAACATTAATCCTGTACTAATGTGCAAAGAAAATGGTCAGCACTTGGGCTGTTGGGCTCATTCTGCTACTTTTTATATTGCATTGAAGGAGAAAATTCTATTCTAATGCTTCTATCTGATAGATACAGCTAACCGTCTATAATAATGTTTAGTTGGCCTACAAGTTGTTTATTTATTTATTTATTATTTTTTTTTTTTTTGTATTAATGAAACCAAGGCTTCGATTGTAACAGCTTTCTTCCTGTTTTTAAAAATATTTTTGTAGTGCAAAAATTTATTAAATTTGATTTTTTTATACAAAAAGTTGTTTTATAAATCAATAATAAAAATATCCCAAACGAAGCTAATATATGATTCTTAAAGCAGCTTTCTAGTATAAAAACTTAAATTTTTTTACTAAAGATGCTTTAATAAGCAGTAAGAAAGCCGTTCCAGACGAAAACTAATGCTACGTTTGGGATGGCTTTTTTCCTGCTTCTTAAAACAGCTTTCTAGTACAACAAATAAAAATTTTATATTAAAAAGCTACTTTAAGAAGCAGTCCAAACGAAGCATAAGACTTCATTTAGGATAGCTTTCTTACTGTTTTCCGAAGCAAAATTTAAGTATAAAAAATTCTAGTAAAAAAATTTGTACTAAAAAATTATTTTAAAAAGTATTAAACTAAAAAGGTCGTAAATTTGAGTTCTTGTATATATGTATATGCAAGTTTATGATTAAATTGACTAAAATTTATGTAGTGCATATTATTTAATATAGGATGCACACGCAAACTAGAAGTTGCCCACATGATTTGTATATTCATTATTTAGATATATACACCACATTTTTTAATTGTATATGACAAATGAAGATCGTCTGTGACAGATGTTTATGTCTAAGCTCTAAAAGTCATGTTATTTGCATTCTTAATTTTAATCATATAGCGGAACTATTTTAATGTATTCATAGAACTATTTTAATTTAGGCACCCTGAATAAAATTTATGGCTCCCCCGTTACTTATATGAATCAAATGATTCTTTAATATTGATTATATATTTTTATAAATAATTTCAATTTGACTAAGCTCTCCTTACTTTATCTACCTCGATTAGTCCCCTAACTGACCCGCGAAGGTAGCCTGTCATCTAACCATTATAAGTAAGACGCAAAAGTCAAGCGATTAAAAACGTGCAGCCAACTTCATGAATTTCTCCGTTGACTGAGGAGGAAGACGAGCACGTGACCTTTTCTCTCTAAGATGGAGTAGGGCTGCAAACAAAAACACAAAGGTAGAGTTATTCAGAGACCAATCAGAATGAGCCATGTCATCTATTCGTTTGGTACCACGGCTCAGTACCGTTGACGTGGAGTATTCTTGTTGGACTTTGGACGGCGTTCTGTGTCAGGTCTCTGCACAGAATAATTTCTCCGTTTGAGAGGGCTTAATTTTGATTTTTCTATTTTGAAACCATAAATTATTTCTTGTTGATGTTTGAATGTGACATTTTTGTAAAAATATTTTTTACAAAACTTAATTTTTCTACTATTTAATTCTCTCAATCAACATTTTTAAAACTAGCTTTTACAAAAAATACCTGATAACCAAACCAAGCCTTAAGGTTTTGTTTGTGATGGCTTTCTTAAGAATTTGTCTGGAACGGCTTTTTTACTGTTTTCTTTAGCAGTTTTTTAGTACCAAATTCTTTTAAGCAAAAATTTGTTTTACGAAAAAACTGTTTTAAAAAGAAGCAATAAAGTCGCCCCAAGCAAAGCCAAAATAAAAATTTGACTCTTATTAGACATAATAAATAAATAAAATCATCTCGTAGAATTTCTGCTATCAATTTATATATATATATATACATCATATTTATGTCAGATGCCAAAAAATAAAAAATAAAAAAATTAAAAATAAATATTTATGTCAGATGAAGTCGGCTTCGGCTTCGACTTGAGCGCTAAGCCGAGCTGCATGACGTGGCGGGTCCGAGTGAAGCGGTGGACGAAGTGCGCCATTACCTATCAAGGAATGAAACCGGCACGTGTCGGTAGAAGGAGTTGGTGCGGTGGGACCCGAAACTGGTTTGGTAGCCCGCCCAACTCCTCGAGGAGAAAAGAGAGAACGGGGCGATCAACCACGACTGTTTGGTGGGTAATCTCGCATAGAATAAAATTTTGAATTAGTTGAATAATTAATCTTTTATATTTTAAATTTATCAAATTAATGTCATTGAATAATTTGCTATGTCAAACATTTTCACATAAAATCATGAATACATAATAGTTAAAAGGCTGGTAATTACATATTATTGATATGACTATTTCATGTTGGAGCATTTGCGACGGTAGAATTTAATATTAAGCTTTTTATTTTTCTACTGTCGCGAATGCTTCAACATGCAATAATGATTATAAAAAAGGCTTCAAATTTATTTAACGTATTTGATTAAAAATATTAAGATTTGTGCTCATATGATTTTCATGCAACTAACTTCAAATAGGACAAAAGTCCATGTAATATAGATAGTATTAAAGTCAATGCTCCTCACCAAACATTAATCTCAAGATTCTAATATAAATATGATCATTAGATATAGATAATTGATATTGACGTCAAAACTATCGATATAAATTTGATTATTCAATTCAAATATCTCTAATAACATTAATCTCGACGCCTAGAGCCTTCTTCCACCCATCCATTGAAACAATCAAAACCATTAACTATCGATGTCTTATATATTCTGACCTAATGGTCTCACGATTTTATCATATTGATGTAAATTTTCAGGATGTCACCCATCCTATGATTATTACTCTCACATAAACACGCTTAACTTTCAAGTTTCTTAATAAAATTTCAATAATTACGTCAAAAGATGTCTCGATATTTAAAAATTTGGATCTATTTTCTTAAAGGTTTTCACATCTATCAGCCTTTGGAGTGTGATACTCTATATAGTGGATCTTAAAGATGATATGATTTGATTCTCATTATTCAATCACTAGAAGGATCAAAAACATTTAAAAAAACAATTTAGTAACATGAAAACATAAATACATAAGGTAGGATACTATCATTGTGCTTAGCCCTTCTTATTAAGCACAATATATTTTTCCATGCCATAGAGGAGAAAGAAATTCATGCAAAACATCAAAATTTTCATTCAACATAACTACAAGTCCAACAATGGTGATTTTTTTACCATTTTGCTTTTAAAATAACAAACATGATTTCATTTAGGTGATACTTTCCTATTATTTTTTCAAAAATTTAAGTCAAATTGCCCAGAACGACTTCACAACCAACTTTATATAATGCTACATGTGTCTTAAACAGGTTAATTTTTCGGTGCATATATGGATGTCATCCGAAAGCAAATCAGAACACGTCACATCACCCATTTGCTGTATACCGTGATTGTGTACCCGCTGTGTACCAAGTGATATGACGTGCTCTGATCCATCTTCATAGGATCCGATATCCGCACAGAATAATTTCTCCTCAAACATAGCCTAAATATTAGATAGTCCTAAAATCTCAATATGCAATGGATGATCCTTACAAAGCAGCATAACCATTAAACACTCCACAAAATATGAAACAAACCTCAAAATGACTACACTATTACCCTCACAATTCAAGAAATTACCAAAGGCAATACATAACACCACAAACAAATGGCATGGCAGACAAAATATAACTATGATGGTCCTTCATTAAATTTTAGAATGAATTTAATTAAAGCAAGATTATCTGGAGCAGGTCACCAAGTTATTGAATATCAATTTTGATTAAATGAACTGATAGAACCATACATAAATCTCAACTACAAAGTACAGCAACAGGAGAATATAAGCAATCTTCCGCCAAATGCATGAAAACATAGATAACTTTGCCAAAACATCTGTAACACAGCACAATAGAGTATCTTACAGGTTATGTGTATATATCTTCCCCAAATGACTAATAAAAAGACCATAAGAAGTCACGCTTCTTTCAGCAATGTTATCTGCTACAGTATTAAACAGAAGAAAAAAGCTGAGACAAAACTCTACTAGAGCGTTCTGCGATGATAATTACCCAGTTTAAGCTTTGGCTGAGCACCTCAGGCTGCTGCTAAATGAACCGCACATTCTCAACTAAGCTTCCCTTTCCACTTTAAGCCATTCTGCACGTAAAAATGGAGATTCTTTAAGAACAAAATATAATTTATTTCGGCGTGTATTTGGAATGATTAACTGGGACATGAAAGTTGAAGAGAAAGGAACATGGAAAGAGAATGAAGAAGTGGATATTGCATTCTAGCTGTAATGCAGGACATTTTATTGTGTACGGACACTGGACAATGGACAAAGAGAACCGCCTGATTTTCTTTCTGTCTATAGCAAAAACGCAGTCAAAGCGCAGCTGCTATAGTAACTGTGCTTTGACTGCGCTTTTACTGTAGACAAAGAGAAAATCGGACGGTTCTCTCCCGTCCAGTGTCCGCACACAATAATCTCTCATAATTCAGTGGGTGTGTCTGCCTCTTCTAAATAAAGTGCTTGCAGATAAAAAATGAAGGCCATATATAAAGAATATTATTTATAGTTCAAACTCTAAGAAGTTGCTAAACCCAAATATGGCCATGGAAACCTTCAGAGGTGCATATGCTACACAATTGAATTATTAAATGAGGTCATGTGTGTATATATATATCAGCAAAATATTTGCTACTTATGATGTATTTAACAAAAAAGTCTGTCAAACCTTTGAGCAAATCATATTCTCTTTGTTTTCAGTCCTAAATCAACCATAAAAAATACAAGGAAGCTTCCCTAGTCAGATGCAAGTAAAATCGATAGCAAAAACAGAAGATTCAGCTATCTTAATTATACCTTTAATTCACACTGATACATAAAATGATGTGCCGATCAAATATGTTGGTAGTTCAAAACTTTTCAGGGACCAGCATGCTTATAAAAATAACATCAAGGTTAATAAAATTACTTGAAAAACTGTCAAAATAAATGTAAATTAGCCATATATTCAGAATATCGTATAGAAAGAGAAAAAAATTAGCAAATGAAATTATAAATCAAAACACATGAAACAGCTTGATTTATAAAGGCCCTTTACAATGAGATAAATTATCAGATAAAATTACAATAACGCAAATTTAAAGTTTCAAAATAATAAGTTCCTTGGTAATAAGAACCCAACACTTAACGAAGATGCGAGATTTTCACTAATGGAAATAAAAGAATGATGCTCCTCGAAAATTGACTTGTCAAAAAGAGTAGCTATGTGTGATATTTTAAACAGTAGGAAGTAGAGAAGCAAGAGTTTAAAATCAACCAGCAAAAGCCTAAAATTTTATTTCCTTCTTATTAAGAGGTAGAATGGTTTGTTGAAGAAAGTAATATAAAGTAAAATGAAGTGCAATGTATTTTAAATGGATGAGTGTAAAGTAAATACGAGCAATTTTTTTTTTTATTTGGCTTGTAGTAAAATGAATATAATGTAAACCGAACAATGGCAATGATCAGAGACAACAGCAGGCGGTGGTAGCCAAAGGTAGCATTGGCAACGGCAAGTGGCTAATGGCAGTGGCAAAGGCGGCGATAACAAAGGTGACCGACAACGGCAATGGGCGGGTGACAGTAGAGGCTACAGGTGGTGACAATGATAAAGAATTTATAGTGTACTTTGAAATTAGTCAAATATAATGATTTTCAAATACACCTAAATTCAATTAGAGGACAAATTTCAAATACTTCAAAATTTTACTCTGCATTTCTTTTACTTCAAACCAAACACCAATATTTTTTAAAACCTCTACATTTCAAATACTTTGCACTCCTTGTACTCAACCCAAATAGCCCCTAAAGCTAGTAAACTCACTTGAAGGTCAGACATTAAGGGCACAATTATCAAAGATAATGGAACATACTCACATGCAATTTTCAACAAGCTACAGTTTGGGATAAACCTTGATTGATGAACGTCTGAAAAATACCAAGTTCAAATATTTAGACTTTTCCATTAAAAAAGACCAACTAATATTTTATAAATGCACTTCACCAGGTGTGTATGGCCATCTATGTGACAACCGGTTCTTCCGGCCGGTTCAACGGCCCACCCTTTATAATCCCGCGAACAGAAGGATCGCGGAACAGAACTGTTCGCGCGAAACAGAGAGGGGCGGGCGACGGAACGTTTGTGCGGGAGAGGAAAGTGAGTTTCGTTTTTCTAATTTTAGCACATAATTGTTTTCTATGATAGGAAATAATGATTCCTTTTCATTCTTATCGTTATTAGAGTATTATTTTGGGAGGGATTTGAAGAACAAGAGAAACGGACGATAAGGATTAAGGGAAAGGTTTGTTGATTTTTCTTTCAGATTTCTCGTATAAATTTCCTCCCTTTACCTCATCCAAAGTGAATGATATGTTTCTTGAAAGATAAGGAAGGGATTGAAGCGAAAAAGACCAACTAATATTTTATAAATGCACTTCACCAGGTGTGTATGGCCATCTAGTACCTTAAAAACATAAAGTTTTGAGAGTTAAAAGCTCTTAAGTTGTTGTTAGGTTGAATGCATTAGGAGTGTAAGAAAAATAAATGAGATAAGAATCAAAATAATCTCTTAACTCTTCATAAAATATCAAAGTAGTTCCTGTTGAATCACACGGCGAGGGGGCCTGTGACTTTGACAGGTCATCAATCCGTGGACTACAACCATGGGCTACAGTTGGAGATTTCCTCTTTTGACTCCAAGATCCATGGGATATAACTATTAGAATCAATTAGATTAAATGACTTTCCTCTTCTGTTGATTATAATTAATTAGATTAAATGTCTTTATTTTTTTATTTATTCTCCTAAAGTGTATATATTTGTAATGATTCTACGAAATAAAATTTGAATTCAATTTCTCCTCAATAATTTATTCATGGTATCAGAGCTTAGAGAAATCGTCAGCCTTCTCTGAGTGTTGGTGGCAAACCTTCCTCCATTTCTTCTTGCCTTCAGCCGGCAGTAACTCTCCATCCTGCCGATAGCCTCTCTTTAAGCACTAGTATCCATTGCCTAGAATTTATCTTCTCTTTAATTCGAGCAAACTCAACCATGTCCATGGATAGTGATATCTCATCCTCCTACCTAAATATTACCGATTTAAATACTGAAAACTCTGGATCTGCAGGCAACTCTTCTCCTCTTCCTCCTCTCATCACAAACCATAGATTTAATAAATTTTTTGCAATGGTCTCAATCGGTGAGAATGTTTATTTGTGGGAGAGGGAAAGAGAACTATCTCACTGGTGAAGCCCCTATACCACCAAAAACCGATCCTCTCTACAAAATATGGAAAGCATATGATCATCATATCATATTTTGGTTCAACAACTTCATGAATGTAGAAATCGGTGAGAACTTTCTTCTTTACGAGACGGCCCAAGGAATATGGGAGGCCATTAAAAAGAACTACTCCAGTTGTGACGACACTTTCGAGCTATTCGCAATTGAGACCATCCTTCAGGAGTCGAGACTGCTGACAAGAGGACCAGACCGTAACTGAATATTTTAATACTCTAACCCTTTATTGGCAACAATTAGATATGTTTGAACAGTATCAATGAAAATGCCTGAAAGATCACGTACTTCACCGGACAATTGTTCAGACAAAAAGAATATTCAAATTCTTGATGGGTTTGAACAAAAAATTGGATGGTGTTAGAGGACAGATTATGGGACCCAAACCTCTTCCAAATCTCCAGGAAGCCTTTTATGATGTTCGAAGGGAAGAGAGCAGAAGAAAGGTCATGTTGGAGGGCCTATAAGGATCTCCAAAGGTTAAAGAAGGAAATACTCTTACTGTCCACATCAATCGCAAGCCCTCACATGTTGAAATTCGACATCAAAAGAAGGGAGGAAGAACATGGATGTGATCCCTGTGCCAAACCAAGACATACAAAGGAGACATGTTAGATGGAAAACCAGCTTATTGGAAGGCAAATAAATCAATATAAGAAAGCAAAGGCAAACTCTTTCAACACCACACAAGATCGATAATCAAAGCTGAAGCTATTCCTTTCACCAATGAGTATTTAGAGATGTTGAAGTTGCTAAATAACAACATCACGAACCAACATTCTTCATAATCTGTTACCAACCTAAACGCTCGCTCAGGTATAAAACAGTCAAAACTTTGTTATTGACTCAGGAGTATCAAATCGCATAACAAGAGACATTACACTCCCTTATGACTATAAACCTTATCATTCAAATCGAGTAGTTAAGGTTGCTGATGGCACAACATCCAAACTATTCGGGTTTGGGTCAACCCGACCTTTTTTTGCAAACGAGTCAATTTTCTCGACCCGAACCCGACCTGCTTTGGGTTCTGGTCAACCCAACCCGACCTGAATAGTGCCTTTCATCTTCTCTTTTCGCCATTGTTGTTGGGCTTCATTGCTTCGCAGGAGGTGTAGAGATTGCAAGCGTCGCTTCTTCGGCTCCTTGGTGGCTGATCGACATCGCTCCTTTGACGATTTTCCCTTCTCATCGGATCGGAAATTACAACATTTTGATCGGAAGCAACGACGGGAATTCGATCGTTGTTGTTCGGCTTTGTTGTTGTTCGTCATGTTCGACTTCGCTCAATTCTGTTCGGCTCCTTTGTGGTTGTTCGACATCGCTCCTTTGACGATTTTCCCTTCCCATCGGATCGAAAGTTACAACATTTTGATCGAAAGCAACGACGAGAGTTCATTCGTTGTTGTTCGGCTTCATTGCTATTCGACTTCGCTCGTTGATCATTGTTGTTTGGCTCTGTGGTTGTTCGACATTGCTCCTTTGACGATTTTCCCTCACATCGAATTGGAAGTTACAACATTTTGATCGGGAGCAACGACCGGAGTTTGCTCGTTGTTGTTCGGCTTCGTTATTGTTCGGGTCATACTCGAGTTTTTGGGTCAGCCTAAACCCGACCCGATTTTGCAAACGAGCCGGTTTTCTAGACCCGAACCCGACCCGCTTCGGGTTTGGGTACCCAAACCCAAAATTTTCGGGTCAGATTCGGGTCGGGTCCAATATTGACACCCCTACTTTTGTCACAGAAGCTATCACCCTTAAATCGGTGCTTTATGAGCCCAATCTTGAGTGTAACTGATTTTCATTAGTAAA